CAGAATCAAAAAAGGGTAAAGTGCTGTCACGAGGTAAAGGAGTAGGAGATTGAGAATTGTCAACAAATGGAAAAGTTGACTCATAGAACAAGACGTTTCGGGAGGCAAAAAATTCTCTGGAATGTAAGTCCAGGAGAATGAAACCTTTGGTGCCAGAGGGAAAGCCAAGGAAAAGACACTTTCTAGCCCGAAAATCAAATTTTGTTCTATGGGCTGATAAAGTAGAAGCAAAGCAGAGGCAGCCAAAGGTTTTTAAGGAGTTGTAATCTGGGAGAGTATTTTAAAGCAATTGGAATGGGGATCTGTTTTGCAATAAGGGAGTGGGAAGCCGATTTATCAAATGAATGGCATGACCAATAGCATAATTCTAGTACAGTTTGGGTAGGTTAGACTGAAAAAGCAAAGATCGGGCAACATTTAACAGGTGTTGGTGCTTTCTTTCCACCACACCATTTTACTGGGGTGTCTCAACACAAGAAGTTTGGTGATAAGCTCCTTTCGAAGCATAGAAAATAGGCATGGTAAATTCTGAACCATTGTCAGACCTAATGGCTTTAATTTTGCTGGAGAATTGAGTTTCAATAAGTAAGAAAAAAGTTTGAATTAAATTTCTTACTTCTGATTTTTGTTTAAGTAAGAATATCCATGTGAACCTTGAATAATCATCAACAATAGTTAAAAAAAATCTATGGCCATGAATGGAACAAGTAGAGAAAGGACCCCAAATGTCTACATGAATTAGATCAAAACATGCACTGGTTTTAGTATTACTAACAGGAAAAGGTAATTTCTTTTGTTTAGCCAAATGACAAACATTACATGCTTCATTATTATGGAATTGAAGATTAGGAATACTAGAAGATAAGAGTTTCATTCTAGTATCTGAGATGTGTCCAAGGCGATGATGCCAAAGATCAAAACCAGTAGTTGTTGAAGCTAAGGAAGTTGAAGCAGGTAATGTGAACTGAGTAGGTGGCAGAACATTGGAACTGCATGATTTCGTCATTGCATACAGGCCATCAAGCACTTTAGCTGAACCAATCGTCTTCCATACAGTCAGATCCTGAATCAGGCAACATGAACTTTGAAATATTAAGCAACAGTTTATTGAAGATGTAAGTTTGGTTACAGAGATAAGGTTGAAAGAAAATTCAGGCAAGTATAAGACATCTGTGAGAATAAGTTGGTTATTTAGGCAGACTGTTCTAGCATATTGGGCAGTGATTTTCGATCCATTTGGTAAAGTGACTAAGATTGGTTTAATTTGTTTGTAAGTGTCAAAACATGATAAAGAGTGTGTAATGTGATCAGTGGCTCCAGTATCTACTATCCATAATGGAGATTTAGAGGTACATGATAAAGCTAAATGAGTAGCTGATATGGAAGAAAAATGTGGGATTAATGTTGGCTGATGGGGTTGTGACACAACTTGGTTGGTAGTATATGAAGGTTGAGCAGAATTTGCTGGTTGTAGTAGAGCCAATAGTTGTTGATATTGTTGTGGAGTAAAGGAAACAGTAGAACCAGAGTGTTCTTGGTTTGAACTTGGCATATCAGAATGTATCTGCAGACCTTCAGTGTTATTGTTTTCTTCTGTGGCAACTACATTGTGGGCAGTAGAATTCCTAGGCTTGTATCCTGGAGGGTAGCCATGCTTTTTATAGCATGTTTCTATTGTGTGTCTGGGCTTACCACAGTAGGTACAAAAGCGATTATCCCCTCCACCAGAAGATTTGAGTATACTTTCTGCCTTGTTGGTACTTGGAAGACTGAACACTCTGCTGTTGAAATTGTTGCTGGGATTTTGAAGGGAACTGAGCACTTTCTCGATCAGATCTATTTACGAATACCTTGGCACCTCCCAAACTCAATTGTCTTTCTTGTTGAACAACTAAAGAGAAAACCTTGTTTATGGAAGGCAGAGGATCCATCAGCATGATTTGTGATCTTACAACAGTGAAAGAGTCATTCAAGCCCTTTAGAAACCTTATCACATAGTCATTGTTTCGATAGGTTTTAAAAGTGTTCAAGATTCCACAAGAACAAGGAGTGGAACATGTGCATAATGGAAGAGGAAAATGCTTCTTCACCGCACGTTGGTATAAATTTTCTGGCAAGAGTGGTTTGCAGTCTTCTTCGCCCACCACTGCAATCATTGAGCGATATTGGATGTTCCTTCCACCAATAAAGAAATCAAATTTTCTTGTAGATTCAATACCTACAACTTCAGTGTCTTCAATGAAAAAAGAAACAACTCTAGAGTCATGAGGTTGATCTTCTCCCTCCATTGCCTGACCCTTGTCTATGCACTTGAAGTTGTAGATGTCCTCTTCGTTGTATTTCGGCAAGTGTAGTTTGATATCTTTAATCTCAGTGGCGATTCCATGTCGTAGCTTTAGAATCTTTATGAAGTCGATGCTTTATTAAGGTAACTAATGACAAAACTGATTCTGAAATGATTCTGAGAAATACTTCTTCATTTAAGAATCAATGATTTACAGAATGAAAAATTAGTTACCGTAGCTTAGTCCCTTAAACAATGTGTTATTGATAGCCAACTCTTATCTTAGCTGAGCGGATTAACGGACTTCTAACTACTAACAGACTCTAACTACTATTTAACAAACTAAACAGATTAAAAATTACAGTTATCAAACTGCTAACTAATTGTTAACTAACTTGATAACAGACTAACTAATTAACAGATCATTCGGTGATGCTTCAGCTCCCTCATGCTACATGTGCTGCATGATTTCGTTCGTTGATGTTTCAGCTTCAGTTGCAAGAGCCCCCCGCAAGTTGGAGAATGGATACTTAACATTCCCAGCTGGACAGATTAGCGCGAAATGGTGCAAGAGAAAGAGCGATGAGTAAGGTCGGCTAACTGATCAGAAGAAGAACATGGCATGAGATGAAAAGACCTGATTGAACCTTCTATCGGACAACATGGCAGTCTATTTCGATGTGCTGGTACGCTCATGGAACGTGGGATTGGCAGCAATCTGAAGTGCAGACTTGTGTCACAGAAGAGCAAAGCAGGATGGGAATGATGACATGAGATCTTGAAGTAGGTATGTAACCATGAATTTCACAGTTGTGGAGGCAAGAGCACGATACTCAGCTTCGGAGGATGATCTGGACACAGTGGTTTGTTTTAGCAAGCCAACTATCAAAGAGGAGCCAAGAAATGCACAAAAGCCAGTGATGGACTTGTGAGTAGTAGGAAGCCAGCCCAATCACTATCACTAAAGGCTTGTAGTTTGAGTGTAGAGGAGACGGAAAGAACAGACCATAAGCTAGACTACTTTAATATACCGAAGAACAGATGGGCAGCTTGAAGATGTGTTGAAGTTGGTTTGTCAAGAAACTGACTTAATGCTGAACAGCAAAAGATAAGTCAGGTCTAGTAGAGGTTAAGTAGAGGAGACGTCCAACTAACCTTCTGTAAGAAGTGGGATCTGAGAGAAGATCACCATCGTGTTAGAGAACTTCATGAAAGAATCCATCGGTGTAGTGGCAGGTTTACAGGCTAGATAGCCAACGTCTGATAGGATTTCAAGGGCATATTACATTGGCAGAGAAATGCATGCTTGGAACGGGCAACCTCCAAACCAAGAAAGAATTTGAGATCACCGAATCCTTAATTTGAAGGTAGCATCAAGGCAGGCTTTTACACGATCAATTTCTGGAGAATCATTTCCTGCCAAGATAACATCATCACATACACCAAGAGAGCTGTAAGAGAACCATTATGGTGTTTAACAAAAAGGAATGATCAAAAGATGATTGAGTGTAGCCGAAAGATAGTAGAGCAGAAGTAAGCTTGGAGAACCACTGACGACTAGCCTGTTTGAGTTAAAGGGACTTTTGAAGACGGCAAACCTGATTGGGATAGGAAGAGCTGAAACCTGGAGGCAAGACCATGTAAACTTCTTCAGATAAATCCCCATGCAGGAAAGCGTTATTCAGTCAAGTTGTTTAGGTACCAGTTCGAAGAAGCAGCCAAGGCCAGAAAGAATCTAACAGTGTAAGTTAGCTACAGGAGAGAATGTATCAAAGTAATGATACCTTCGGTTTGGGTATTCCTTTGGCAACTAAACGAGCTTTGTAACGCTCAATTGTGCCAGCAACCTTAATTAAGTAATTTTTTTTAAAATGTTTTAAATAAAATAAATTATAAGATTATTTTTATTTATGATAATAAAAAATGGATTTATAAAAAAAATTCAGATAATTGATGATTAATTACAATTACTACCAGATTAGAATGATGCTAATCCAACTATTAAATTATTTTTAGAAAAAAGTTTATTTGTTTACTCATAAAAAAACCTGTAATACGTAATAGCAGAGAAGTGAATTTAAGAGAAATACACTATTCAAAAGGCTTACTTGTTTTAGGAGACTGGCCTATTGATTCTGTGAGTGATGAGGATACTTGTTACTTGCCTCAATTTCTTTAATAAGCTCCTCAAAATCTTCTGCCGAAAGAGATGACAAATATTTACTAGTATAAGCAAAGTTTTCTCCTCTAGATGTTTGTTTATAGTTGACACGTACTTGTGGAATGTGTTTAGTGACATTCTCCCAATTCTTATTTTTTATCCTGCAATAAACCTCCTTCAACATCATACGAATTACAAGTCTCTTTAGGTTATTATGATGCTCAATACCAGTTGGAATCTCCTTCAACAATAGGCATGGTCCAATCAACAAGAATGTAAGACTAGGCATTGCACCTTCCTCTATCATCATGCATTTCAATCCTTTGAAGTCGTAGAGATACAAGTATTGGAGATTTGGAAACCAACCTTCTTTGAAATGCAATTGTTCATCAGAGTCACGCACAAAGAGCATAAGCACCGATAAATTAGGCAGAGCTTGAAGGATTGTCATGGAATCATTGGTACAACCAACTAAATTCAATTGTAATCTGATTAGATTGTGAAGTTTAGAAATCCAAACTATAGAATTTCAATAAACATCCCTGCCAAATCAAATCATTGAAGACATAAAAGAGGAGAAGCCAAGGATTGTATATCAAAAGGCTCTTCTCCACTTGTCAACGCTTGTACACTCAAACCTTCAAGGTTTTCCATATTTTGGACAATAGCAAACAAATCTTTCACATCTCTATTTGCGACCCTAATGCCAAACTTTCTCATCTGCCTTAGTTTCTTCAGCTCTTCAAGTACTTCAGTGTTTCCATGAACATGTCGTAGCTTCCGCAACTCCGTTAAAGCCCCAAAACCTTCTTGTATTTTTGCTCTACTTCCGTAAGGACCTTTGTTGTCACACCGTTTTGCAATTAGATAGCGCAATTTTTTCAAATTCTTGATCTCAACGGGGAGCTCACTCACAAAAGTCCACTTCAAATTAAGAGTCTCTAAGTTGAGAAGCATGCCTATGGACTTGGGAAGTTCTTTAAGTTTTGTATTTTTCAAACTTAAGTAGTGCAAATGGACGAGCTTTCCCACTCCATCAGGAAGACAATCCAAAGGGGCATTTTCAAAATCAAGTATCTTTAAAAGCTTGAAATTAGCAACAAATATAGTCGTGAAAGTCTTGGGCAATTTGTCTACATTGAAAAGACAAATGGAACGGATCTTTGAATTTTTTATGCTCTCTAAAACACCGTTAGTACATTTGTGTATTGAAATACGCTGAGTTTTACTAAAGTGACTAAAGTCTTTTTCATTAAAGAAATGACAAAAATCACATTCCTTCATCTTTTTGCGAATAATCTTGTACATTAGATCATGAACTCTACAACTTCTAGCTCGTCCAAAAGGTTTTCTCTCTGAAACTTGAACCAAGCTTCTGTCAATAAGTTCTTTCATGTATTCTTCAGTAACATGCTCAGATTGAAGGTGATTGTTGCACTGAACAAAGCCTTCAGCTACCCAGAGGCGAATTAATCTCCCAAATCTAATTTCGTAGCCTTCTGGAAACACACCAAAGTATAATAGGCATGACTTGAGAGGGTGAGGGAGATCATAATAACCTTCAGACAAAACTCTGTTACAATCTTCAAGACGAGAATCAGCGCTTAATTTTGAGCCAAAATCATCAAGTATTTTTTTTCCATTCATAAAGATTCTTGTTTTTTCTTGAGAGAAGCCCACGTATCGCAGCAATTGCTAGAGGTAGACCTCCACATTTTCCAACGATACGTTCGGATAATTCCGTCATGTTTGGAGGACAACAGCTATCAATGCCAAAGGCCTTTCTGCAAAAAAGTTCCCATCCCTTCTCTGAAGACAAGGGCTCAAGCATGTGAACATGAACTATTGAGAACGGCATGAATTCAGCAACTGCTTTATTGCGTGTCGTTAGCATTACTCTACTATTTTTTTTTTTGTTATAAAGTAAAGCATGCTCTACATCTCTCCAAAATTGAACACAATCATGTAACACTTGTCCTTTAAGTGTTCCCTCAACTTCATGATGAAATCCTTCTCTTCCATTTCGTCTGCCTACGTTGAGTGGACCCTATTGAACGGTAAAGTTCTCGTAAAATTTTCCTTAGTAAATCTTTTTTCAAGTATTCTTTCCCAACTGTGATCCAAGCCTGGTAATCAAAATGCTTCTTCACCGCATCGTTGGTATAAATTTTCCTGGCAAGAGTGGTTTTGCCTAGTCCTTCTTCGCCCACCACTGCAATCATTGAGCGAATATTGGATGTTCCTTCCACCAATAAAGAAATCAAATTTTCTTTAGTAGATTCAATACCTACAACTTCAGTGTCTTCAATGAAAAAAGAATCAACTCTAGAGTCATGAGGTATGACTCTTCTCCCTCCATTGCCTGACCCTTGATCTATGCACTTGAAGTTGTAGATTTGTCCTCTTCGTTGTATTTCGGCAAGTGATAGTTTGATATCTTTAATCTCAGTGGCGATTCCATGTCGTAGCTTTAGAATCTTTATGAAGTCGCATGCTTTATTAAGGTAACTAATGACAAAACTGATTCTGAAATGATTCTGAGCAAAATACTTCTTCATTTAAGAATCAATGATTTTACAGAATGAAAAATTAAGTTACAGTAGCTTAGTCCCTTATATACAATGTGTTTATTGATAGCCAACTCTTATCTTAGCTGAGCTGGATTAACAGACTTTTAACTACTAACAAACTTCTAACTACTATTTAACAAACTGAACAGATTAACTAATTACAGTTATCAAACTGCTAACTAACTGTTAACTAACTTGATAACAGACTAACTAATTAACAGATTCATTCGTTGATGCTTCAGCTCCATCATGCTGCATGTGCTGCATGATTTCGTTCGTTGATGCTTCAGCTTCATCATGCTGCAAGAACTAACAAGACCTCTGCCATGAGGAAGTCTCACTGCCTTCATTGTGTACTCATCAATGGCATCTTCAATCCGGAAAGCTTGTTCCCTCAATTGTTTCACCCAAGTTTTGACACCTTCGTTGCCCCCTGTTTCTCCTTCTTGTGTAGCTCTTGTATCAGCATCCTTGAGAAAAGATTTGATGCTTTCCAATTCACATTTGATGTCTTCAACTCCTTATTTCGCATTTCCCAACAACTTGATTTCTTGGACGAGCAAAGAACTCAAGATTTGTATTTTCAGAGTTCACTGCACCCTTTGCCATGTCTCACCTTTTTCTTGATACTCACTGCATTGATATCAAAAGTTTCTAAAATTTTTGCTTCACTAGTTTTTTTTTTTTTTTAATTCATAATATATGTATTATTGGGGAAAGCACAGTATGAATTATTAAATTTATTTTGATATTTTCTATCAATCTATGATTTTTTTTTTTTTTTGGTATCATCAAGGTTGGCTTGCTTAATACAATTTTAACAAAGCATACATCTCTATGTCCTGAGCTAAAAACAGAATTGTAAATCTAATCCAACCCAAATTAATTTCTTGCTAATCTATTTCTACAAAACTTATAATAGAATGCATTCAATAACTAAAATGATTTTGTTATGAAATTCATATTTCTTGTAGTGATAAATAAGCATAAATTATAACTACTAAAGAAGCAAAGTTTAATTGATTACCTATTATTGGATGATATTTGAATGTGATCCAAGAAATAGCACCAAGATCTTCTTTGTTTGTAGAAGCCTTTCAATTCAAAAAATAAAATTACAGAAACAACAGAAAACTGGCACCTTCAAAATTCTGTGAGCCACTAATCAAAATTCAAGCTATCAACTGTTTTAACTTTAGAAATAGTGAATAGTTCAGAATTGTACTTGAGACGAGAAGCCAAGTTGTATAAGCAACATCAAGCAGGGGGGGACTTCCGTTGGCCCTTACATACTAGTTTTCAAAAGGTGGGAATTGGTTGAAACTTCTTGGAAGGGAAAAGAACTTTTCTTTATTCATCTTTTGGCGATTTGAAGTAAAGTATCTATGCTTTGTTTAATTGCCAACCAAACACTATCTTAATTTTGAGTTTGCTTTGTGCCTTGCCTAATGTTCATTCTTTCATTTCAATTACTCTCGAGAACATTATGTGAGTTTTATATACAAATAAAAAGCTCTCTATGCGGATAGAGTAAAACAAAAGTTCTATAGAAACCCAAGAGAAAGAAAAGAATTCAATATCTCTTGATTCTTGAACAACATAGGGGATACAACTATAACGTCAGAAACAAGACACTCTCAATTCATATTACAAGTGAATTCAGATGTTAACTCTGTGTCTTGATACCAAATCCCATCATACTACAAATTACCTGGACAATGTAACAAGTAATTAATACATTGACAGATTTGTACTTCACCACTATGACAAGGATACAATGTACTTCATCAGTTTATTCTCACGACTATACTTCATTTGTTCGTGGCAGTCATTTCAAGAATATAACGTTGTTGGTTAAATTTAAAAAATAAAACGTTTATATTATTCATAGGATAAATAAGAAAAGGAAAAGCTTTACTAGACAGAAGTTTTGTCAAGTCTATAGACAAGATAAATATATATTACACATGAATAATACTACACTTACAAAATCCTCATACAAGAATGTGTGTACAAAGTGATATGTCATACTGTGATTGGGAGAGTGAATTTGTAAAGTCAACTTTTTAACTAAAATCAAATTCATTGTCTAATCATAGTATGACACGTCACTTTGTATATATATCTTTGTATGGAGACTTTGTAAATATAGTATTACTCATTACACATTGATTGCCCACTTGTGACTTTGAGTCCACACTATTCAATGAAATTTTCCATTCATAGGCAACCTTGTTCTTGTTTGAGAGAAGACCAACCACTGCTACAATGGCTAACTGTAATCCTCCACATTTTGAAAGGATGTAATGGGACAACTTATTAGTTGTAAATTGGCCATATTATTCTACCAGCATGATAAAATAATCGAACTCAACTATACAATCATTTGCTATGACAAATAAATGCAGACTCTCCATAACTGAATCAGTAATCAAAAGAAGGGAAAACAGGGGACTCTGTTTTTTATTGGCGAAGCTTTCCACAAAGGTTTACTACTCATTGACCTTTTTTAATTGAAAGAGTAAAGCAGTTATACTTTCTTTAACTTTCCGATTCAATTGAAAGTCTATTGAACCGAGGATGAAGCTGCCTTTGAGCTGGGGATGACCTCTCCCAATGCTTTGAATGTCTGTTGTGTCTTGCATCCAATACGACCCTAACAGAAATAAGCAGTCACTTGAACTAGTCAACATCAGTTTTCCAGATTGCAAATCACTAAATTGTCTAAATTTCTTCAGTCATCAAAAAGAGGAACACATAAAATACAAAAAAATTAAAAATCACTGATATAATAATTACATAGAAACTTCTTAATTTAAAACAAATTATAGGATACCTACTGAATATTTTTGACCCACTTCTGCAACATAAACAGTCAGCTCAATTAGTTAATGGTTTTATCACATATACATAATCTGTCGATGATTTATCAAGCATACCATTGTTGAAACGCCAAACTTGTACCATATTAAGATCTTACAAGGATTAAAAAAGAAAGAAAAAAAGAAGCAGCAACAATGTTTTGTAACAAATATTTACAAGAAATGTTCCACCATTGGAGACGGACATGGGTTATTCCCATCACTGACATTAACATATTAACATCTTTCACAGTAGGTAAAGCTTGGCATGAGTTGCTTATGTCAAGAAGTGCTCACAACACAGAAAATGATCCCATACCAACCCTAAGGTGTCCTTAAACATATTATAGATAGTATCAGTGTCCACCTTCTGTTCCTGGAAATTGCTAAAAAAGAAACAATAAACGCATGTAAGATCTTCCATGTACTGAAAAATAAGCTAATGATAAGCGCAGAAATATGAAATAAACAGAAGCAACTGCTTGCTCCATATGATTCATTGCAAGCCAAAAAAAAAAAAAAAAAAAACATTGAACCTTAAAAAAGCTAAACGTAAAATATTTTCATTATAATCTTCCGTGCTGAAATTCTTCATAAAACTTTTGGAAAAATTTTGCATTTCATTGAAATTTTCTATGCTGAAATTGTTTTGCAACTTTACGGTGAAACTAGAAACAAGATCTGGAAAACAAGCACTTCAATGATAAATTTTTGAATAGCAATAATTTCAACATTTATTAAGTGCCACATGAAAAGAGAAGGTCAAGTGAAAAAGTTGAATGCAATAAATAACAATTACCAGTATGTCTGAAGCTAATCGCTTCAACTTCAGAGTAATCTCCAATGCAGACTCCCCAGTAGAAGACTCAAAACTAAATCGATCAGCATGTCTTACCTTGAGCCTCAGTGATGAGCTTTCATACAACTTAACTTCTGTGTGCCAAACCCCACTAACACGATACCGAACCCTCGAGTTTGACTTCCCTAGGGGCCATCTCAAACCACCCTTCACTCCTGGATCTAAAACAGCTGAATTAATCAGATTTCTAAGGCTCTGCATTTCATCATCCTGGAAGAACGCATATAATCGGTTTGATCATAGATGTCATTCTCAGGGATAACTGAAACAGATATAAACTAAAACATTGGAGTCTCAAAAGATAGACTCCCACAAATAAGGAAAAAAAAAAAAAAATCAAATAAGGAACCTCATTGTACAAAGCAAAAGTATTAAAACTTTTTAAGCCTACGAGTTGGCAATTAAAACTTTGATTCTGATGATTTTGTTTTTTACTTCAACCATTTGTTAACTTTCATGATGTCTGGAGGGAAAACTCTCATAGATTGTAATCCTCAGTGAAAAGGTATTATATATATGACTGTATGTTTAACTCTTTGAGCTTTGTCTTGTATTTCTTCTTTCTTCATCCTTTAGAAAATAGACCTTGGCCAGACAAAATCAAGTTATAGAACATAGATTTCCTTCTACTGCTTTAAAGTTGTTTTTTTCTTTGTTTGAAATTAATAAATATTCTGATTAGTAACAACAAAGATAAAATTAACATGATCAGAAAATAGAAACAAAGTTATGCAAAATTATTCTACCTAAAGCATCTAATGCGTAGGTTTGCACATTAACTTACAGTTAAGTCAGCGAAAACACTCTTGGTCCATAGCATCAGCCTCAGTTCTAAATTCTTATCCACGCATGATATGTCTATGACCGTTTGACGAGCATGGTTTAGTTCAATCTACAAGAAAAATATCTCTGATTGAGCATGAGGCTCTACATACAAAATAAAGATGAATTTAAAGTGAATATAAAATATTTTTGGCAATTCAAAATATAAATAAACAAATGAATCCAGTCAGGTACTTAAAATTTCTTTATGCCCCTGATATATTACCCAGATCCAAATCCCGTGAAGCAAAAGGCACTCTTAAAGAAGGGCAAATTCAAGTTGGTTCATAATCAGCAAGGTTTTTGCAATTTAACACTCAGGATCACACCTGTAATGGTACATATACTTTGGTTTATATCAGGGCTTCTTACTCCTGCATAAGCAAGTCCTTTACAAACAATTCAGAAGAGTTGAAAACTATTTCTTTTTTCTTCTTCTTTTAAAGGTGAATTCCATTTAAATGCTTCTAGGAAGACTTCAAAAAAAAGGTCTTAATCAGATTCTAAAAATTTCTATCCCTATCCTGTTTCATCTTTTCAAGTTTATAATATAGTAGTTCCATCACTTTTTACATCAAAATTCATCTCACAAACTCAGTTCAATCCATTTTCTTTTTATTCAAAAACATACATATAGGTACTGCTGACAGCTTCATTTACCTCTACAGTTCCTGGTAGAATTAACTTTAGCAAAAGCCTTGATTCATTGACTTTTCAAAAGTAACCAACTCTGAATGTTTAAGAATCATAATTATCAAATTGAAGCATCGACCTCCATCATCCTATTTTCACAACACTGATTTATTTTTATAATAGGTTAAAATAATGGCAACATTCATGCAAAATCTGATATATTATCCACATATATAAGCATGTAAATAACAGAAAACTTGCCTTATAGAGCTCAAACATGTTATCTTCTTTTACTCTACATTTGCATAAAATTGTCTTTCGTCGTGCATTGTCAATCACCTAGAAAATGAAATTTAAGTCAATAGCTATATTATATGAAGTACAAGTAACATGATTGTAATAGACAGGTGTTTAGAAGAACAATTACCCAGATATAGTATACATCCTTATCTGCTTCAAAATCAACTCCTACTTTTGGCACAACTTCACTTATAATGTTTTCCATATAAGACGTAGGAACATTTGTATAAAATTGTCTCCGCAATTGTTTCAGAGTGGTTTCAGCTACTGGATCTTTTTTGACCTTTTCTATGTTCACAGAATAGTTCCTGCATCACAAAGATTAATCTTATAATAGCTGCTTAGTCCAATTTTTTTGTCACCAACTATTAGTACATATGTTTGCTTCACATTACAAACTAATTGAGCCGCAGACATGACTAAAAGGGGAAATACATTTGGTACATAGAGTATCATCATTGTATGGTTAGAAATAGGCCAGCCGGCAGATTGATTGTTTTCCCAATGAAATATTTATGAGTAAAAAGTTAGTGAGAAATGTTTGTAAGTATAGTTATATATATATATATAATTTTAATGCAAAAGCAGCTTCATAGAAAAAACCAACTAAATCCATTGAAATAGGGGAGATGTTTTTTATAGGCAGACAACAAGAATGACCATAACAGTAGAATAGCAACCACATTTCTAAGTAGATATTACACAGAAAGTTGAAAAAAAAAAAAAAAAAAAAAAAAACTCTTTGCCCTGCAACATGGAAACTACAACAAGAAAACATGAATAGTAGATATTGCATGCTGATAACAAGCAAATACTACGCCATTATTGATGACACTACACACATGAATTACAAGCAATACAAAACCTTTATTACAAGAAAAAGCCATAGTCATCCTGGGTGATCACTGGAAGAGATGGATTCATCAACGTCATTCTTCACCTATTCATGACAATAAAAGATTTACATCCGTCAGCTAAATTAATTCATAGGATAAGTAAAAAAACAAATGTAAAAAAAGAAAAAAAAAACTGATAATTTCATTTGAGGTGACAACGAGCGGTTTCCGGTAACAAGAGACTTGTTCAGCTTGTTACAGTAACAAAATTCATATTAAAATGATCGTCTCTAAATGATCTATCTGTCTATATAACTTTAAACTGGAAAAATGCTTGCATTTATCCGGGATCTGACCGAGAAAATGCGACCACATGAACTTTCTCCGTCATATATTGGCCAAACGTTGCGCATATTGAAAAAAAAAAATTGCAGATATAGATAGATCATTAAACTTGAATTATTTTGATACTAATATTGTTACCTAATATCACCAAAATAAATTCCGACGACAAACTTGTAGCTGCCAATAGTAGATTCCAGTAGCCAGAACTTAATAAATAAATTAAGTTAATTTAAAAAAAAGTTTCGAATAATATAAATTATAAGAATATTTTTATTATGATACTTAGACTTGCGTATTTACAAATAAAAATTCAGATAATTGATGATTAATTACAATTATTACCAGATAAGAATTATGTACAACTACTAAAAAATATATATATAATCATCATTATTTTTAAAGACAATAAATTATTTTTAGAAAAAGCTTGTAGTGATATTTCCACATAAAAAAATTGAAAGATTTTAAAGTTTGTAGACATAACCTAATATTTAATAGTAGAGAAGTGAATTTAAAAGAAACACACTATTCAAAAGGTTTACTTGTTTTAGGAGACTGACCTATTGATCCTGTGAGTGATGGGGCTACTTGTTACTCGGCCTCCAATTTCTTCAATAGCTTCTCAAAATCTTCTGCCGAAAGAGATGACAAATATTTACTATTGCAAAAATGGTATCCTCCTCTAATTGTATGTTTATAGCTGACACGTACTTGTAGAATGTGTTTAGTGACATTCTCCCAGTTCTCATTTTTCATCATGCAATAAATCTCCTTGAACATCATTTTAAATTCAACCATCTTTAGGTTATTGAGATGCTCAATTCCAGTTGGAATCTCCTTCATTAATGGGCATGGTCCAATACACAACTCTGTAAGACTAGGCATTGCACCTTTCTCTATCATCATGCATTTCAATCCTTTGATGTCGTACAGATGCATCGCTTGGAGCTTTGGAAACCAACCTTCTTTGAAATGCAATTGTTCATCACAGTCATGCACAAAGAGAATAAGCACCAATAAATTAGGCAGAGCTTGAAGGATTGTCATGGAATCATTGTTACATCGAGCCAAATCCAATTGAAATCTGACTAGATTTTGAAGTTTAGAAATCCAAACAGGTAGAATTTCAATAAACATCCCTACCAAACCAAATCGCCGAAGACCTAAAGGAGGAGAAGCCAAGGATTGTATATCAAGAGGCTCGTTTCCACTTGTAAACACTCGTACACTCAAAACTTCAAGCTTTTCTCCCATATTCTGGATAACAGCAAACAAATCCTTAACATCTGTATTTGTGACCCTAATGCCCAGCTTTCTCATCTGCCTCAGTTTCTTAAGCTCTTCAAGTACTTCAGTGTTTCCATGCACAGACCATAGCTGCTGCAACTCTGTTAAAGACCCAAAACCTTCGTGTATTTTTGCTCTATCTCCGTAAGGACCTTTCCCGTCCAAGCGTCGTACAATTAGGCAACGCAATTTTTTCAAATTCGTGATCTCAACCGGGAGCTCACTCACAAAAGTCCACTTCAAATCAAGAGTCTCTAAGTTGAGAAGCATGCCTATGGACTCGGGAAGTTCTTTAACTTTTGTATTTTTCAAACTTAAGTAGTGCAAATGGAAGAGCTTTCCCACTCCATCAGGAAGACAATCCAAAGGGGCATTTTCAAAATCAAGTATCTTTAAGAGCTTGAAATCAGTGACAAATGTAGTCGTGAAAGACTCGGGCAATTTGTCTACATTGAAAAGATGAATGGATCGGATCTTTGAATTTTTAATGCTTTCAAAAACACCATAAGTGCATTTGTGTATTGAAATACGCCGAGGATTACTAAAGTGGCTCAAGCCTTTTTCATCAAAGAAATGACAAAAATCACATTCCTTTATCTTTCTGCGAATCATCTCGTACATCAGATCATGAACTCTACAACTTTTAGGTTGTCCAGAAGCTTTTCTCTTTGAAACTTGAACCAAGCATCTATCAATAAGTTCTTTCAAGTATTCTTCTGCAACATGCTCAGATGGAAGGTGGTTGTTGCATTGGACAAAGCCTTCAGCTATCCAAAGGCGAATTAATCTCGCAATTCTAATTTCGTAGCCTTCTGGAAACACACCAAAGTATAAGAGACATGACTTGAGATGGTGAGGAAGATCATAATAACCTTCAGACAAAACTCTCTTGCAATCACTAAGATGGGAATCACTGCTTAATTTTGAGCCCAAGCTACCTAGTATATTTTCCCATTCAGAAACAATCTTGTTTTTCCTTGAGAGAGGCCCACCTATCGCAGCAATTGCTAGAGGTAGACCTCCACATTTTCCAACAATATGTTCCGATAATTTCGTCAAGTTTGGAGGACAACAACCGTCAAAGCCAAATGCCTTTCTGCAAAAAAGTTCCCATCCCTACTCTGAAGACAAGGGTTCAAGCATGTTAACATGAACTATTGACAACGGTAGGAATTCAGCAACTGCGTTATTCCGTGTCGTTAGCATTACTCTACTATTTTTTTGGTTATCAAGCAAAGCATGCTCTACATCTCTCCAAAATTCAATTTTCCACACGTCATCAAACACGATCATGTAACACTTGTCAGTTAAGTGTTCCCCCAACATCATGATCAAATCCTTCTCTTCCATTTTATCTGCCTCCATTAGAGTGGACGCTGTTGAACGGTAAAGTTCTTGTAAAATTTTCCTTAGTAAATCTTCTTCAAGTATTCTTTCCCAACTGTGATCCAAGCCTGGCAATCAAAATACTTCTTCGTTGTACCATTCGTATAAATTTTTCCAGCAAGAGTGGTCTTGCCAAGTCCTCCTTCGCCTACAACTACAACGACTGAACGGTTGGATATTCCACTTACCAACAAACCAATCAATTGGTCTCTATTAGATTCGATGCCTACAAGTTCAGCCTTTTCGATGAAAAAGGCATCTCCTTGATCTATGCGCCTCAAGTTATAGTGTTCTGCTCTTCTCTGTATGTCAAGAAGTGGTGATTTGATATGTTTAATCTCAGATGAAATTCCATGACGCACCTTAAGTTCATTCATGAAGCAACGCATTTTACGAAGGAAACCAGAGAGACCTTTGCCATCATGAACATGATGCTTTGCCTCATTAAGTATGTACTCATCTATGACGTCTTCAATGTGATAAGCTTCGTCCCTTACTTGTTTTACCCAAGTACTCACGACACCTCCATTGCTTTCTCCTTCTCCTTCGGCTGCTGCCCTTGCATCTGCATCTTCAACTTCTTTCTTTACACTTCTCAACAACGTGGCTTCTTGGACAAGCAAAGAAGCCAAGGTTTCTATAGCAAAGTTCACTGGAAATTCTGCCATTTCTCATAAGCTTTTTCTTTTCACTCCATCTTAGTTCTTAAGAGTTAAGATGTATCATCATGTATACAATTTTCGATTGTTTGTTAAGAAACCGGTGGGTTGGACAGAAGTGTGAACACAGATGCTTTTGTTGACTAGTAAAACTTTTGGGAGTCCAGGATAAGAATTGACTGATGATAGAGAGTCCGTATAACAGCTGGACTTACTAATTTTGTCTCTCCACATAATTAATAATTAATAAACTTTTAGAAGATGCTGTTATGTATCGTTTTAAACAAATATAATTCTAAAGAGACAAGAGTCCAAATGTATGGCTAGACTTTTAGATTGAGGTCAAGTCAACATATGACCATTATAAGGCTTCGTGTCAAAATTTTCGAGGAAAAGCTAGAGGGGCACAGGGACACTATAATTCTTTTTCTTTAGAAAACAGAGGAAAACAGGGACATTGTTTTTTACAGATTTAAATGCAAGAGAAAGATCCAATCAATTTGTAATCGGAACAAATTAAAACAGTGTTGTTTTTAGATAGGCTAAACATAAAATTTAACATAGAACAGTATGTGTTTTTTGTTATATATAATTTTCTCCTTAATTATTTACCTAGAAAACCTCAGGTATGCTGTTAGGGTTTCTAGTTTTAGTTTATCTCTGTCAATAGTTTAATTAGCTTGAAAACTATTTTATGTACATATAGTTTGCTAGAAAAAAACCAACTAAATCCAGGGAAACAGGATAAAACAGGAAACTTGTTTTTTATTGGCAGAAGGTGTTCGAAAAAAGGTTTATACTTTTATGTCTTCATGAAATTTAATAGTGGGTGAACTACGTTTAGGATTGTTTGAATAATTTAGATATGATTTAAAAATAACATGCAAATTATGATAATATTCCTTCGAAAATAGCTGCTATATCATAAGCTAATTAACGAATCAGAGCACATGGAGCCGATATTTCCTTTATTTAATCAATAGAAAAACATGTATTGTGGCGCTTCCAAAAGTTTGAATCTTACATTCCCAATGACTGTAGTAAGCTGCTGCTCTAAAGTAGACATCTTGATGCCTCTCCACCATAAACGATTAGATCTTATCTTTTGAATTTGTGCAAGCTCAAGGAAATTTGAGGCCTAAGGCGAAATTTTTCCATGAAGAATCAATATATGGTAGATTTAATCAATATAAAAAGATATATGGTGGGGCTTCAAAAAATTTGAATCATAAATTTCCATCAGCTTGATTTTTAACTTTAAACAAGTAAGCTGTTGCTCTAAAATAGACCTACTTTTCCCCTTCCACCATAAAGGACTAAATCTTATCTTTTGAATTGTAAGAGAACCGAGAATATTCAGAGAAAGAAATTAGGAATGCTGCTAGACTTGCTTCAAATTGATCGTCTAAACAATTAATTTTGGAACAATTTCTTATATCTTGAATATTGATTTACTCAGTGTGCTATACAAACGTGTGAAGGTTTAATAATATTTCATCAATATAAATTAATAATCACTCAAATCTTTTATTAAAAAATATGTAAAATTTTTGAAGGAAATAGAAGAGTAAAGCAGAGAACATGCATCCTATAAAAATCTTAATCTTGGAACTTCATATTTTGAACACTGCATAAGGTTACCTGATGCTCACTCATGCATTTGCCACGCAATAATGAAATTTGTTAATTATTAAAGTTTCTTTCTACAAATTGCTCACCTACAACAATCAAAAATGAAAGAATTTCATATATTCACCAGAAGGGCTCTGCAATGATATATCAAAATAATTAGAAGAAAACCTGTAAAATTTCCAGGAGAACAGAAGCCTACTGGCCCAAAAATCCATGAACTTAAACCTAAGCAAAGCATATTCAAGCCATCATAAGTGCAACTGCAAAATCAAACGCTAAATGAAAACCATCTACGTTGACAACTTCCATAGTTCCATTGAAACAGGGTAAAACAGGGGACCTGATTTTGATTGGCAGAAAGTGTATTCTCAAAAAGGGCTTATACTTTCTTCAACTTTCAATTGAAGTAGGCACCAATTAGCTTCCATTAAAAGTGTAAAATAATCCCAAAAGAAAGAAAAGAGTTTAATATCTATTGAACAAAATTGTAGATATAAATTAACAAATAAAACAACCATTACAATAACTTGGCGAATCAAACTTAAATATATATGACACAAGGAAGTTGATGAAGAAACTGCCTGCAGTCACACTGCATCTCTATGTTAATTTGATGTTTGTGTAGTCAACATCAAATTTTTAGAGGCAAAGCTAGACGTGCATAGGAACACTATAATTCATTTTCTTTAGAAGACAGAGGAAAACAGGAAAACTGTTTTTGACCGATGTAAATGCAAAGGATTGATCCAATAAATTTGTAAAATCGGAACAAATGAAAACAGTATTTGTTGCTTTCTTGAAGTTTCAATTGAAGTAGCCGCCAATAAGCTTCCACGTAGAGGTGAAAACTATACCAAGAGAAAGAGAAGAGTTTAATATCTCTTGAACGACGTAGAGGAATCGGATATAACTTACCAAACAAAATAACTATTACAATGACATAAGCAACAAAAAATCTCAGTAGAGTTTGTAACTGAGAACTTGGTAAATTATAATGAAGTTGAAGAAAACTTGTCAAATCAAATGTATTAAATTATTACACAAGGAAGTTGATGAACAACTGCAATTCATACTGCATCTCTACCAACATTATTCAAACGAGTTTTGATTATGTATTCAAGTATCAAAATCCATTCTGGTAGCTTCTTCATATTCCCTATCAAGACGAGGCACTGAAGACCATGAGTAGGAGAAGCTATGGATTCTATATCAAGAATTTCTTCTGTATTTGTCCAGGCTATCCCCAAATATTCAAGTTTTGCCATATTAACAATATTGCAAGCGCACAGTATCTTTCTCATTTCCATTTGTCACCCTAATGCCTAACTTTCTCAAATGCCTTGGTTTTGTTGACTAGTAAAACTTTTGGGAGTTCACGATATGAATTGAAAGATGGTAGAGACTCCGTATAACGGCATATCCAAATGATTTTTTTATATGACCCAAACTCTTTATTATAAAGAGTTTATCCATAAAAACAAGAGTCCAACAGACTCTTTATCTTTAAAATATAAATTAGAGAGTGAATTCGACTCTTCACATTTAGAGAGTCAAATTTCACTCTTTATCTTATTTTTAATTAATAAACTACAAGTTTCAATGCATTTTATTTAACAGTTCTCTCTCCCATTAAGTCTCTTTTTAAAAAATAAAGAACATCTTCATTAAATTTAAAAAGTCTATTCAAAGTCCTACAACTTTGATCTGAACCGACAGCTCTTGATTTGGCAATCCATGTGATTTTCAATCTGAAAAGATCTCATCCATTCAACATTCAATCAACAAACACAAAACTCAGATTTGTGCAAGAACAGAGAGGAGAAGATGACTTAGCCAAAAAAGAGAAGAGAAGAAGGAAAACCCTTGCTTTCACTATGTAATGGAAACGACACCGTTGGACTTATGAGAGCTAACGTCCATGTAACAGAACTTGTATCTTTGTCGTTAACAGCCGCTTACTCTTCTTAAACGACAACACTTGGAATGGTGTACATCAGATCGTCCCGAAGCCGTTCTCTTTAAAACTTAAACCAAATTTCTGTCAAGTATTCTTCGGCAATATGCTCTGATGGGAGGTGGTGACTATATTGGACAAATCCTTCCTCTTTTTGCAAATGAACTTGTTCATCAGATCATGGACTCTACAAGTTTTAGCTCGTACAAACATCCAAGCTTCTTTTAATAAGCTCTTTCAAGTATTCTTCTGCAACGTGTTCAGATGGGAGGTGGTTGTTGTATTGGACAAAGCTTTCAGCTATCCAGAGGCTAATTAATCTTCCAAATCTAATTTTGCAGCTTTCTTGAAACAGACCAAAGTATAAGAGACATGACTTGAGATGGTGAGGGAGATCGTAATAACCTTCAGACAAAAACAGGGGACCTCAAAAAAAGTCTGGAAAGAGTGTATGATTCATGGAATATATAAGAAATTGAAATTGTAAAAACGTTAGCACCAGAACTCCATTTCTCCTTGATGCTTTCAACTTCTTTCTTTACACTTGTCAACAACTTGGTTTCTTGGACAAGCAAGGAGCCCAAGGTTTCTATAGCAAAGTTCACTGTAAGCTCTGCCATATCTGATAACCTTTTTCTTGAGCACCCCATGGTTAAGATGTTTGCTCATGGATACATTGTTGTGTGTACATAAAAAATTTGATGCATGCGGCTTTGTCTCATCTTTATGAAAGCATGCTGACTGAAGAATGGTTAGAGAACATTAATTTGAATAATAAGGCACCCTATTTTTTGATTAATAAATAATAATGACTTAATATCAGATTTTTTTATCACCTAGAAAAAGCCAGATATCCTAATGGGTTCTCCAATTTTCTTTTATACCATTTTTCCTGGTGTGATTTCCTTTTTCCTCATGCCATCGAGATTAAAAAATATATATTATAATATTGATTTTATGTCAAAGCAGGTTCATAGAAAAAACCAACTAAATCCATTGAAACAGGGTAAAACAGGGGAGATTTTTTTATAGACAGACAACAACGATGACCATAACAGTAGCAATAACAACCACATTTCAAAGTAGATATTACACAAAAAGTTTAAGAAAACATCCCACCCAGCAACATGCAAATTACAAGAAGAAAACATTGACAGTAGATATTGCATGCTGAGAACAAGCAACACTACACCATCATTAATGACACTACACACATGAATTATAAGCAATACAGAACCTTTATTATAAGAAAAAGCCATAGCCATCCTGGGTGATCACAGGAAAAGATGGATTCGTTAGCATCATCTTCATCTGTTCATGACAATAGACGATTTAGATCAGTTAAATAAATTAATTCATACGATAAGTAAAAAACAAATGTAAAAAAAGAAAAAAAAAAACTGATAATTTTGTTTCCAACGGCAAGATGGTTTCTGGTAATCGGAGACTTATTCAGTGTGTTACGATAACAAAATTAATATTAAAATGATTGTCTATAAATGATCTATCTGTCAATATAACTGTAAACTGGAAAAATGACTGTGTTTGGCCAGAATTTGACTGAGAAAGTGAAGCCACCCGAACTTTCTCCATCAAATCCTAGTCAAACGTTGAATATATTGCTAAAACTAATTTTAGATATTGATAGATCGTTAAAATTGAATTATTTTGATACCAATATTGTTACCTAATGTTTCCAAAACAAATTCCGATTATGGACCCGTAGCTGTTGGTACTGGATTCTGGCAACTGTAATTAAGTAATTTTTTTAAAAATGTTTTAATTAAAATAAATTACAAGAATTTTTTTTATGATAATAAAATTGAAAAAAATGTATCTATAAAAAAATTTTCAAATAATTGATGTACAATTACTACCAGATTAGAATGATGCTAATCCAACTATTAAATTCTTTTTAGAAAAAAGTTTAGTTGTTTACTCATAAAAAAAAAACTGCAATATTTAATAGTCGAGAAGTGAATTTAAGAGAAATACACTATTCAAAAGGTTTTTTTTTTGGTTTTAGGAGACTAACCTGTTGATTCTGTGAGTGATGGGGCTACTCGTTACTAGCCTCAATTTCTTTAATAAGATCCTTAAAATTCTCCACCGAAAGAGATGATAGATATTTACTAGTATAACCAAAGCATCCTCTAGATGTTTGTTTATAGCTGACACGTATTTGTGGAATGTGTTTAGTGACATTCTCCCAGTTCTCATTTTTTATCATACAATAAACCTCCTTCAATATCATACAAAATACAAGTCTCTTTAGGTTATTGAGATGCTCAATTCCAGTTGGAATCTCCTTCAACAATGGGCATGGTCCAATCAACAAGAATGTAAGACTAGACATTGTACCTTTCTCTATCATCATGCATTTCAGTCCTCTGAAGTTGTAGAGATACAAGCTTTGGAGCTTTGGAAACCAACCTTCTTTGAAATGCAATTGTTCATCACAGTCGTGCACAAAGAGCATAAGCACCAATAAATTGGGCAAAGCTTGAAGGATTGTCATGGAATCATTGGTTGAACCTTTCAAATCCAAATTTAATCTGGTTAGGTTTTGAAGTTTAGAAATCCAAACTGGTAGAATTTCAATAAACATCCCTCCCAAACTAAATCGCTCAAGACATAAAGGAGGAGAAGCCAAGGATTGTATATCAAGAGGCTCTTCTCCACTTGAAAATGCTGTTACAGTCAAACCTTCAAGGTTTTTCATATTCTGTACAATAACAAACAAATCCTTCACATCTCTATTTGCGACCCTAATGCCCAACTTTCTCATCTGCCTCAGTTTCTTAAGCTCTTCAAGTACTTCAGTGTTTCCATGCACATACCGTAGCTGCTGCAACTCTGTTAAAACCCCAAAACCTTCTTGTATTTTTGCTGTTTCTCCGTAAGGACCTTTGTTGTCCAAGCATCGTGTAATTAGAAAACGCAATTTTTTCAAATTCTTGATCTCAACCGGGAGCTCATTCACAAAAGTCCACTTCAAATCAAGAGTCTCTAAGTTGAGAAGCACGCCTACGGACTTGGGAAGTTCTTTAACTTTTGTATTTCTCAAACTCAAGTAGTGCAAATGGAAGAGCTTTCCCACTCCATCAGGAAGACAATCCAAAGGGGCATTTTCAAAATCAAGTATCTTTAAAAGCTTGAAATCAGCAACAAATGCAGTCGTGAAAGTCCCGGGCAATTCGTCGACATTGAAAAGACAAATGGAACGGATCTTTGAATTTTTTATGCTCTCTAAAACACCATTAGCGCATTTGTGTACTGAAATATGCCGAGTTTTACTAAGGTGACTCAAGTCTTTTTCATCAAAGAACCGAAAAAAATCACATTCCTTCGTCTTTCTACGAATGGTCTCGTACATCAAATCATGAACTCTACAACTTTTAGCTCGTCCAGAAGCTTTTCTCTCTGAATCTTGAACCAAGCTTCTATCAATAAGTTCTTTCAAGTATTCTTGTGCAACATACTCAGATGGAAGGTCGTTGTTGCATTGGACAAAGCCTTCAGCTATCCAAAGGCGAATTCATCTCCCAAATCTAATTTTGTAGCCTTCTGGAAACACACCAAAGTATAAGAGACATGACTTGAGATGGTGAGGAAGATCATAATAACCTTCAGACAAAACTCTCTTGCAATCACTAAGATGGGAATCAGAACTTAATTTTGAGCCCAAACTATCTAGCATATTTCTCTATTCAGAAACAATCTTGTTTTTTCTTGAGAGAAGCCCACCTATCGCAGCAATTGCTAGAGGAAGACCTCCACATTTTCCAACGATACGTTCCGATAATTCTATCAAGTTTGGAGGACAACAGCCGACAGAGCCAAATGCCTTTCTGCAAAAAGGTTCAAGCATGTGAACATGAACTATTGAGAACGGTATGAATTCAGCAATTGCTTTATTCCGTGTCGTTACCATTACTCTACTGTTTTTTTTTTTGGTTATCAAGTAAAGCATGCTCTACATCTCTACAAAATTGAATTTTCCACAAGTCATCGAACACAATCATGTAACACTTGTCCTTTAAGTATTCCCTCAACTTCATGATAAAATCCTTCTCTTCCATTATTTTCTTTCCCAACTGTGATCCAAGCCTGGCAATCAAAATGCTTCTTCACCACATCGTTGTTATAAATATTCCCGGTAAGAGTGGTTTTGCCTAGTCCTCCTTCACCCACAACTGTAACCACTGAACGGTTGGATTTTCCACTTACCAACAAACCAATCAATTGGTCTCTAGTAGATTCGATGCCCACAAGTTCAGTCTCTTCGATGAAAAAGCCACCAACTTGAGAGTCATGCGGTACAAGATGTCCTTGATCTATGTGCCTCAAGTTATAGTGTTCTGCTCTTCTCTGTATGTCAGCAAATGATGATTTGATATGTTTAATCTCAGATGAAATTCCATGACGCACCTTAAGTTCATTCATGAAGCAACGCATTTTCCAAAGGAAACCAGAGAGACCTTTGCCAGCATGAACATGATGCTTTGCCTCATTAAGTATGTACTCATCTATGACGTCTTCAATGTGATGAGTTTCGTCCCTTACTTGTTTTACCCAGGTACTTGTGACACCTCCATTGCTTTCTCCTTCTTCTTCGGCTGCTGCCTTTGCATCTGCATCCCTGAGGAAAGATCTGATGAACTCCAATTCTCTTTTGATGCTTTCAACTTCTTTCTTTACACTTCTCAACAGCTTGGTTTCTTGGACAAGCAAGGAAGCCAAGGTTTCTATAGCAAGGTTCACTGTAAACTCTGCCATATCTCATAACCTTTTTCTTGTTCACTCCATCTTAATTCCTAAGATGTATGATCTTGCATACAATGTTTTATTGTTTCTACCGAAAACAGTGGGTTGGACAGAAGTGTGAGCACAATTCTTTAGATGGTTTAGTTGACTAGTAAAACTTTTGGGACTTCGTGAACTTAGTTGTAAACAGCTGGACTTATTAATAATTAATAAAGTTTGAGAAGATGCTGTTATTAATTAATTCGGTTAAGGTTTTGTATGGTTTTAAACATATATTACTGTGAAAAAGTTGTATCTACCAAATGTTAAAAGAAAATGTGGATCAAAATATATTGAAAACTCAAATGGATTGAATTAATTGATGTGATATAAACTTACACAATAAAATATAACATGATATCAAATAATACAATATAGTTCAATTAATATAACAACAAAATTATTAGTCTAATATACATAAAGAAAAATACTATACTTATTAATTCTGTATACCAACTTTTCATCTTGACTGATGTAAAGTGTGATGTGGGGAGTCTCTAACTCGACCATGTCGCATTCCACGTTAGCGGTATGCAGAATCAGTATCTGTACATTACATATATATATAAGCGTCTATATGATATTACATTGCGATGTTGAGTATATATATAAAAACGTCTATATGATATTACATTGCGATGTTGAGTGACATTGTTGGTGTGCATGCTCAAACTACATCAAAATACTTCTGGACTGAGAAGCAGAATTAGTTCATCAAATTTGGTTAAGGAAGTTGATGGCAGCTGTAAGTAGAAGGCTATTTGTTAACAGAAGTATAATCCCATTAGATTACTTAACTCAAAGGTGCCATTTTATTTGAGTTTTGACAAACATTCTTTGAAGATTGAACACACAGAGATCATCAATAACAGTATATGTTAAACTGAAGGAAGAATTATCTACATCTCCAGCTATAGTATATACTAAACTTTGGCCTCTATGAGCCAGACAATAACAGTCAACAACGTTTCTGGTAATACCAAATAGCTCTATCTTCTCGTTTATAAAATGTTTCTTCTTTGTTTATACAATGTTTGATTGTTGTGTTAAGAAAGCAGTGGGTTGGAGAGAAGTGTGAACACAAATATTTTATACTCTCTAATCGATGCCATGAACATATAACTAATTATCCTAGTATAGAGAATGCAACAAATATTATGAAAGAAATTAAACTTCATATCGTAGGCATAACCTAACATTTAATAGCAGAGAAGTGAATTCAAGAGAAACACACTATTCAAAAGGCTTCCTTGTTCTAGGAGACTGACTTGTTGATTCTGTGAGTGATGGGGCTACTTGCTACTCAGCCTCAATTTCCTCAATAAGTTCCTCAAAATCTTCTGTTGGAGGAGATGACAAATATTTACTAGTGTAAAAATAGTATCCATTGCTTGTTTGTTTATAGCTAACATGTACTTGTGGAATGTGTTTAGTGACATTCTCCCAGTTCTCATTTTTTATCATGCAGTAAACCTCCTTCAACATCATTTCAAATACAAGTTTTTTTAGGTTATTGAGATGCTCAATTCCAGTTGGAATCTCCTTCATCAATGGCCATGGTCCAATCAACAGATATGTACGATTAGGTGTTGCACCTTTCTCTATCATCATGCATTTCAATCCTTTGAAGTCGTAGAGATACAACTCTTGGAGCTTTGGAAACCAACCTTCCTTGAAATGCAATTGTTCATCACAGTCATTTACATAGAGCATATTAATAAATACAAGTATCTTAATGTCAACTAATTATACGAAAACAGGGCAAACCAGGAGACCTATTTTGGATTGGTAAAGGTGTGTTCTCAATAAAAGTATAGAAAGAGTGTATGATTCATGGAATATATAAGAAATTGAAATTGTAAAAACATTAGCTAACACTGCATCTATAAAACTACAACTATACTCGTGCCAATACAATTCTTGGTAGGTTTGGGTTTCACCATATGGTTACCCTCGACTACTATAACCATCCACCTTATAGCTGTTAAGAAATGCACAAGCTGCACGTTCTCACTATCTGGCTGTTGCAATCTTAAAAGAGAAGATGGATCGAAATTAGACAAATTAAAGCTTGTTCATTCAGTAATATCAAGAATAGAACTTAGTAGTTGATTGAGATTACAATGAATATATATAATGGCGGTAACACATAAGAGTAAACTTTACAATAACAACAGCAACAAAAACATACGGTAGATATTACACGCTGGTAATCTTGAAACAGAAAGTGGCCATTGCAATCTTATCCTTATTCTTGAAGATACTTCATCTGTTCATGACAATATAAACCAGAAATACAATCGTTATTTGAAATTTAAGTATTGAATGAGAATATGATTCATATTTCATAGGATAAATAAAACTTTAGCATCAGAACATTTTTCTTGTTCTTACAGTAATAACAAGAATAGAGCTTGGCAGTTGATTGAGAGTACATACGAATAAATACAGCAATGGTAACAGCAGCAACAAAAAACATACATTAGCATTGAATTTGAATATGATTCATAGCATAAATTAAAACATAAGCATCAGAACATTTTTTAGCATTAGTAACAAGACATACATTAGCATTGAATTTGAATGTGATAAGCTTCTTCCCTTACACAAGTACTGACGACACCTCCATTGGTTTCTCCTTCTTCCTCGGCTGTTGCCCTTGTATCTGCATCCCTGAGGAAAGATCTGATGAACTCCAATTCTCTTTTGATGCTTTCAACTTCTTTCTTTACAGTTTACACTCGTCAACAACTTGGTTTCTTGGACAAGGAGCCCAAGGTTTCTATCGCAAAGTTCACTGTAAAGTCTGCCATATCTGATAACTGACAGCTCTTGATTTGGAAATCCATGTGATTTGCAATATTAAAAGATCTCATCCATTCAACACTCAATCAACAAACAAAAAACTCAGATTTGCAGGCCGTCGGATTTGTGCAACAACAGAGAAGAGAAGAAGAAGAAGAAGACGGAAAACCCTTGCTTCGATCTGCGTTGTTCGAGTTTTCCCCCTCTTTACTATGTAATGGAAACGACACCGTTGGACTTATGAATAAGAGCTAACGTCCATGTATCACAATGTAACGGAACTTGTATTCTTTTCGTTAACAGCCGCTCACTCTCTTTAAACAATAACACTGGAATATTTTCCAGAATCCAGAACCGGACCCTTTCAAATTGCTGCAGAACCAGATGTTAAAGCTCAATTCTCCAAACTGTTTTCTTCTGATTTTTCAGTTGTACCCTTATCAGATCGCTGCTTCACTAATAATCTTCATCCATTTCAATCCTTTGAAGTTGTAAAGATACAAATTTTGAAACTTGTAAATCAGATCGTGGACTTTACAACTTCCAGGTCGTCCAGAAGCCTTTCTCTTTGAAACTTGAACCAAATTTCTGCCAATAAGTTCTGTCAAGTATTCTTCGGCAATATGCTCTGATGGGAGGGGGTGACTGTATTAGACAAATTCTTCCTCTTTTTGCAAATCATGGACTCTACAAGTTTTAGCTCCTACAAACATCCAAGCTTCTTTTAATAAGCTCTTTCAAGTATTCTTCTGCAACGTGTTCAGATGGGAGGTGGTTGTTGTATCGGACAAAGCTTTCAGCTATCCAGAGGCGAATTAATCTTCCAAATCCAATTTTGCAGCTTTCTTGAAACAGACAAAAACAGGGGACCTCAATAAAAGTCTGAAAAGAGTGCATGATTCGCGGAATATGTAAGAAATTGAAATTGTAAAAACGTTAGCACCAGAACTAGCTGGCAGTGCATCTATAAAGCATCAGAACTCCATTTCTCTTTGATGCTTTCAACTTCAACTTTGGACAAGCAAGGAGCCCAAGGTTTCTATAGCAAAGTTCACTGTAAACTCTGCCATATCTGATAACCTTTTTCTTGATCACTCCATGGTTAAGATGTTTGCTCATGGATACATTGTTCTGTGTACAACCAAAATTTGATGCACGCGCCTTTGTCTTATCTTTATGAAAACATGCTGACTGAAGAATGGTTAGAGAACATTAATTTGAATAATAAGGCACCCTATTTTTTGATTAATAATGACTTAATATCAGATTTTTCTATCACCTAGAAAAAGCCAGATATCCTTATGGGTTCTCCAATTTTCTTTT